AGGCACTGTAAGCACCTTGCAAGTCAGTGGGGAGGGAATTTAGGAAGTGGCTCTGAGCCTGCTGGTACTCTACCACTGATTCTGCCTGGCTTAGAGACTTCCAGTAGGTAGGACACCCAAGGACTGTGATGGATCAGGTGCTTATTTTTAGTTCTTTTTTTAATGTTGATTTATTTATTTTTGAGAGAGAAAGAGAGAGAGAGAGGACAAGGAGGGGAAGGAAGGAGAGAGAATCCCAGGCAGGCTCCATGCTGTCAGCACAGAGCCCAGTGTAGGGCTGGAACTCATGAATCGTGAGATCATGACCTGAGCCAAAATCAAGAGTCAGATGCTTCACAGACTGAGCCACCCAGGAGCCCCTTATTTTTAGTTCTGTAATGAGTCAATGGAAACAGCTATCTTTTACCCTTATCTATTAAAGCTGCAGAAGTGTATCATAGGCCTCTTGAGTAAAAGAGGAGATGTAGGTCCCCTTAATGTGAGGTTCTCACATTTGCTATACATTAGAATAACCTGGTAATTTGAAAGCCTCATGCCCAGGTCAGGCCCCAGACCAACCCAGTCAGAGTATCTGAGGGGAGGCCAGCATCAGCAGCTGCCAAAGCTCTCCATGTGATCAATATGCAGCCAGGCCGAAAACCACAGTCATGGGGGCCCCTCTTCTTTCACTAGGGACCATATTTTCACCAATGTCTTGAGATGGTCATTTTGCAGAATTCTATTGCCTACATATAACCTGTGTCTCAGGCTGCAATAGACGTTGGAAAGAAAAGGCCTGGAGACTCACTGCAGTCTCCTTAGTGTGAGGGCTTATAGCTCAAAGGGGGCTCCTGGAACCAAAGATGGCCAGCTATGGTCCCTCCTAGGAGGGTTTGGGGGTACACAGACCTGGATTTGAGCTCCTACCCCACCCTTGCCTGTAACAGCTCTGTGATCTGCAACAACTTGCTTGACATCTGTGAGCCTCAGTTTTCCCACCTGCAAAGTGGGGATAATCTAATGTCAGCCTTATTAGCTTAGCACAATAGTCTCTGAATAACTACTAGCTATTTATTATTTCTCCCAGATGACTTGTCTTGAATGATGAGGCAGGTGATGTAATTTAACAAATTCTATCTGCTGCCTTTGTCCCAGTCCATGCCTTCCCTGGTAAATGGGACCCCAACTCCCCAGCTGCCTAAGTCAGAAACTTGGGAGGCATTCCAGGCTGTTCAGTCTCTCGTTTAATCCCCACATCCAGCCCATCATTAACCATGATGCCTCTACCCCCTAAGAATCTCATAGATCTGTCTAGTTCTCCCTATTCCTACCGCCACCGCCTTTCACCCTCCACCTTGTGGGCTGTCTGCACCAATGCAGTAGCCCCTGGTGAGTCTCCCCAGCTCCCCCACTTTGATGCTGCTCTAATCCACTTCCCAAAATACAGTCAGAGAGATCTTTCTAGAATGTAAATTTCCTACCAGATATTAAAGCAAATTTTAAAGTTGTCATAATTAAACCAGTGGGGATGCTGGTGAATAAATAGACAAACATATCAATGGAAAGAAAAATAGAAAGCCCAGAAATAGACCTGAATATATACAGGAAGTTTATATATTTGAAAAGCGGCATTTCAAATCAGTGGAGGAAAGATAGATTATTCAATAAATAGCATAGGCACAACTGGGTAGTCATCTTTCCATAGAAATAAAAGTGGATCCATACCTCATACTTCATACAAGGAGTGGTTAAAAGATATAAATGTAAAAAATTAATTGGTAAAGATACTAGAGGAAAACATAGTATATCTCCAAGTGGAGAGGGCATTTTAGAATATGACTTAAAATCAGAAGCCAAAAAGGAAAAGACCAAGAGATTCAACTTAAATTAAAAAAATTCTCTATGGCAACAGTTACCATAGGCAAAATCAAAAAACAAATAAATTGGGAAAAATATTTGTAACTCATATCACAGAACAAAGGTTAATTTCCACAATATGTGAAGAGCTTCTACAAATTAATTAGAAAAAGACCAACAACCCAATGGTGAAGTGGGCAAATATATGGAGAGTTGAAAGGGAAATACAAATGACTATTAAGCTTATAAAAATAAGGCGCCTGGGTGGCTCAGTCGGTTAAGCATCCGACTTTGGCTCAGGTCATGATCTCACGGTTCACGAGCTCGAGCCCCGCATTGGGCTCTGTGCTGACAGCTCAGAGCTTGGAGCCTGCTTTGGATTCTATGTCTCCTTCTGTCTCTGCCCCTTCCCTGCTCACACTCTGTCTCTATCTCTCAAAGATAAATAAACATTAAAAAAAAAATATATATATATATATATATGTGCCCAACCTCACTCGAATAAGATACATGTAAATGAAAAGGACACTGATACTAGTTTTCACTTATTAGATTGAAAATAAAAAAAATTTTGATGATACAGGAATTGCTGAGAGTGTAGGGGAAAAAGCATCATCAAAAAGCTATTTTGGAAAAAGTAGCAAGATGACAATGACACCTGTGATGGATAGTTTCATTTGTCAAAGCAGAAAGGCTATAGTACCCAGTTTTTTAATCCAACATGAATTTGGGTGTTGCAGTGAAGGTATTTTGTAGATGTGGTTACTATCTACAATCAACTAACATTAAGTAAAGGAGATTCGTCTTGATGATGTAAGTGGGCCTCATCCAATCAGTTGAAGGTCTCAAGAGCAAATACTGAGGTTTCTGGCAGAAGGAGAAATTCTGCCTCAAGACTGAAGATTCAGTTCCTTTCTGTCTGAGTCTCCAGGCCACTGGTCTGCCCTTCAGAATCCAGACTTGCCAGCCCTCACGATCAATTCCTTAAAATAAATCTCTCTCTCTTCTATAATCTCCTACTCCTTCTGTTCCTCTAGAGAATCCTGACTGATATAATATCCTTTAATTCAGCAGCCCCGCTTTCCCACTTGTGGAATGCTTGCACACATGTGAAATGACCCATGCACCATTTATTTCACTGTAGCATTGTTTGTAACAGAAAGAGTGAAGGCAACCCGAGTGTCCATCAGTAACGGGATGGTTAAGAAGTCATGTTAATCCGCAGAGTGAAGCACTGTGTATAAGGCAATGCTGTAGAACGGTTTCTGAAACTGACTTAAGAGAAAAAAAAGAAAAATACCACACAATGTTGACCAGCGTGCAGAGTATGCTCTTTCGTGTGTAGAAAGGGGGGAAATATTCCAGTGTTTGTAAACATACAAAGTATCTTTTGGTGGGCACATAAGAAATTACCACTGAATGTCTCCAGGGCAGGGAACTAGTGGCCAGGGCATGGGACAGGAGGGAGACATTCCACCTAGGCCCTTTTGTTTCACAAAACAAAGCCTCTCATGTCTGATCATATCACTCCCCAGCAAGGGTAGCTATGTCCTTAAGGCAGAGTTACATTTTTTTTTTTAACCAGGGCTTATAAGGTTTTACGGCCCTACCTCTGCCTTCATCCCATCTCTGACCCTAACCCCTATGGTTTCCCATTCTCTGCATTCTCCATACCAGTCCCATATTTCCTTATTTCAGTTCCTAAACTCATATGCTGTCCCTTGGGAGAGCAAATTGGGAATGCCCCTGAGGCTCTTTCCACAAGTTCCTGGTTTTTGGTCCTTCTGTATCGTTCCCTTTCTTCCTAGGGATGGGTGGCATGGCTAGTGTTTGACGTCCCTCTGCTGTGAGCTTGGCTTCCCCAGGGAACCCAACAATGAACACAGAGCTCTGCCCACTGGCTTCCTCTGGGCTCTGGGTGGTCACGTCCCACCCAGGAGGATTACGGCAGTCCTTATTCTCTTTCTTGCCCTCTTGGGGACCCCTGGTCCATGAGATTATATCATTCAGGCTGATGATAGGGACAGGGACCCCGCCCCCCCCAGATGGCCTGTTGAGGCATCTCAGTTTTTCTCATGTAGGCACAGGGAAGAGGCCTCACTGTAATTGAACTTTACCTACCTGTTCCAGAAGGAACTAGGCACTTGTGTCTTTCAAGGCATCCTCTGTCTTCAGACATCCAGCTGGTCAGCACCCAGCCCTCAGGAAGTCCTGTTGTAGGAGGAAGACAGCAAACCTGGGGCCAGCCCCTTAAATCATTTCAGTGGGGGATGAGTTAGACATGACACTTTGGAAGCACACCTGGCTAAATGCAGTGAACTTCGGGGGAACAAGGGCTTGGATTCTGTGTCTTAGGACAGGACAGTGGAGTAGGTTAGTAGATGAAGCAATCTGGACCTCAGAGCACAGGGATGGGATAAGACATGCAGAGTGTATGCTCTCTGTCCAGGGTTTGGATGTATACATTTGGTGATGGATGGGGGAAATGATGTGTCATGTATAGATTTTATTTCTCTCATTTGCAGTTTGCTGACTTTGCACATATTCCATCTTGGATGAGTAACAGGGTCATAGGTCAATGCTGAAAGGGACTCAGTCTGGTACAAGTACGGGAAATCCATGTATAGCTTTTTCCCAGTGAACAGAGCTGGGGTATGTATAATGGAAAGCATTATGGTTGGACTGGACAGATTCGACAGATCAGATGGACAGATCCTGATTGGACAGATTCGACTTCGGGGTTTTGTAGTTTCATCTGACTTCACTCTGGAGCTTGTTAGAATTTTATGGCATGGAAAACTGGAACTGTCTCCTAAGGATGTTGGCACAAACAGGGGCACCTAGTCCTGGGTGTGGCCCCCCACAGGATTTAAACTGGAACCTCTCTGCCGTCTTGGGATCCAACAGCTCTGATGGGACCATTTCACTCACCAAAGCTCTGATTTTGTTTCTCCTGGATAGGACTTAAAAAAAAAAAAAAGAACTTCAAAAAACTGTGGAACACACTATTTAAAAACATGCATTCTGAGTCAAGCGTAAACACAAAGCTGTCTTTTTATAAAGTCTGAGCTTTATAAGGTTGCCAAAATGCTTCTCCGTCAGTTTTAAAAATTGAAGTAGAAACCACTTAAGAGTGAAAAATATTCCATGGAGGAAATTCTCAGACACTGACTTCCCAAGTTTACATCACAGAGAGGTCCATATCTGTGTGCAAGAGCCCCATGGGCAAAGCTGGTCAGATGGAGACCTTGGGCCAGGTTGTTACATGGGAGGATACTGTGAAAGACCATTCACTCCAGTGGAGCTCCTCAGCAACGTTTGTAAGGTCGTTCTTTTTTTTTTTTTTTTTTTTTTTAATTTTTTTTCAACGTTTTTTATTTATTTTTGGGACAGAGAGAGACAGAGCATGAACGGGGGAGGGGCAGAGAGAGAGGGAGACACAGAATCGGAAACAGGCTCCAGGCTCCGAGCCATCAGCCCAGAGCCCGACGCGGGGCTCGAACTCACGGACCACGAGATCGTGACCTGGCTGAAGTCGGACGCTTAACCGACTGCGCCACCCAGGCGCCCCTGTAAGGTCGTTCTTAAGTTTGCCAAAGATCTCCAATTCCCTAGGCACCCGCATTTCCTACTTCATGTACCTGTATCCTAAATGTGTAGATAGATGCACACACACAGAGGAGCCACCCTCCATTCTCAATCCATCTGTGCCAGAAACTGAGCGTGGGAAGTGAGAAGACACATCTCAGGGATGCTCTGGAAATAGTGCTCTATTGCTTGACCCATTTCCAGAGACTTCAGGTTCAGGCTCTCACCTCCCATAACCAGTCCCATTACCTTCTGGATTTTCCTCTTCCTTTCCTTCCAACACATCCCCTTTCTCAAATATTTTGTTTTCAGCTCTTAGAAATGACTAGGGAACAAAGTCCTTGTGTTCTTCAGCCCACTTCCAGGCTTCCCTCGGACCTGATAGGCACTTCTCTACTGTATTGTGGGCATTGTTGACCTGGGTGAGGGGAGATGTTGGCATTAGGAATTCCATCATCTCATCCTGAGGGCAATATCCCAGACTGATTTTGCAGACTGACCCTAGAGCTTAGGGAGCCAGAACAGGGCTACTTTTTATAGCAATTTGACAGAATAATTTTGTCGAGTCTAGTACAAGACAGGGCTTGTGATTAAAAAACTTTCTTATTGTATTTTACAAAAGAATTGGGCTATGTGGATTAGAAGTAAATAGCCACTACTACAACTGTAATTCACAGATGGTTTGAGACACAGTGAGCTAGGGCATGCTAGAGCTACTGTTGACAATCCAGAGGCTGAAGGGCTCAGGGAAGAGGTGGTTTTCGGGTATGGATTGTGAGGTATGGATGGAAAATAGAAAATAGAAGTGTTTGTGGAAGACTGTGGAGGGATATCTGTCAGGTGTGCTGGAGTGATGTGCTAGCATTGCCCACTGGAACAGGGGAAATAGATGACGTACAAGCTGCCATAGTGTGCTTCTCTGTGGGCCAGGTGCATGCTGACCACTCCACATCTTTATAGAGAAGGGTTAGGTTCTAGTTATGGGTGAGATTTTTGCTGTCGTTAGGCCCCCCTCTCAACATCCAAGTCTTGGGCTGATAGGGAGTCAGGGCCATGGATGAATATAGAAACTGTTCCAGGGACCAAGCCAAGGTGCTTTCATAGGAGTTTGGATTCTCCTTGTATTACCCCCTTGGCACCTTCCTCATTAGCATAGAGAGCATGAATTGATGGTGCCCATCTGTGCTCCTTCTGGAGTCCTCTCACAAGCCCATTGCAGCCTCTTCCCAGCCAGTATGCTATAGAGGTGTTACACATCCCCCTTTAATAATGGAATTAAGGCTCTTCTGCAGAGAGGACTGCTAGGGGACACCCTAAATGCTCTACCCTATGAAAAATGTCTCCAGGATTGAACATTCTGTTACTAAGTTCAATGGCAAAGAGCCACCGCTTTGCTGAGAAAAGCACTAGCCAACTCCTTTCAGGCTACCATGCTGAGCCCTGTTTCTCTTAATCTCCTACCTTTCACATTTATTCCCATTTCACACACTGCAGAAGTGAGGCTCAACTTTTCTCTTGCACATTATCCCCTTCCCTTCAGAAGAGTCTGGTCATACAGGGAGTTGTATCTCATTTGAGTTATGAGAATTTAACTTTAAGAGGAATTTAGCATCATTTAATATCTCAGCTTATGAGGCATTTCTACATGTTTCCAGGGAAACCTGATTTTGCATTTCGGTTGAGTAGCTTGAGCCTGGTAAAAAGAGTGTGTGGTCATTGTTACAATATCAAGCTGTGGTTGCCTCAGAAAAATCTTGGTTTGTGGTAATAACCTCTATATCCTATTTTTTCTTTTGTCTTCTCCTTCTCTGGATTACAGGTTTAATTATATAAACGTTGAGTATCATTAGGCCAAAACACAAACGAAGCCAAAGATCAGAGAGGTTAAGTAACTTGTTGCCTATCACACAGACCGAGATTTCAAACCCATATTAGTCTCTCCAGCCATATCCTTAACTGGCATTATTTAGAATTTATATCAAATATCATACCGGAATTAGAGGTATTAGAATGAGATTCAAGCCACGTGTAGTCAAAACCCCAAGGCTCCAAGGGTGCTGCTGTTTCTTCTTGCCATGGTTTAGGGTTGCAATATGATTTCATAGGCATTGAGGATGGAGAATAAGTTATAAGCAGTATCATTTACAAGGATAGGGTTTGGATTTAGAAACATGCCTTCAAGTCAGGTGATGCATTCATTGGCTACTCTGGGCACATAACAAGCTGCATAAATTTTTATACCTCTCTACCCTACTCTTTTGTAAAAAAACAAAACAAAACAAAACTCATACTTGCAGACATAATTTGCATAGAACGGTCAGGTGGTAATAGTTTACAGGGATGTCATGTTCATTCTTCCTTGCTAGCTTATTTCTAAGATTCAGTTTGTTTTCTAATCGATCACATTGACAAAAAGGAAAAAAGACACACACACCAGTGTTACAAAACCTTGTATTAATCATTTCCCTTCACTTTCAATATAACATTGATATGAAATATAGCCATGATTCTTAGTTACATGGAGGAAATGAGTAATAAATACATTGTAGCAAGTTTAAACCACAAGGGTGTTTCACTGGTAACAACATTTGAAAACTGTACACTTGCAAAGAACAGCATCTTCAAACATTAGTATATCTGTATATCAGTAAAGCTTTACATGTAACAAACATGCTATTTCCATATATGACAAATTTAAAAAATATGCATTGCTTGGCAACATGAACTAGGCAAAAATAGTTCTTTGTTCACTAACTTTATACAGGAAAACAGGACGGAGGCATGCATGTACAATAGGGATGCCTGCACGGGGCATGCAACAAAAGAAAGCTTTTTAAAAGTCAGCTTACATTAGGCATAAATACACGAGGGTTATATATTAATAAGGGAGGAAGTCTTCTGTTTGACATTATTAACATTCCTGTTTTCTTCCTATTCCTCCCAGAGGAATACACATTCACCTTTAAGTAAAGATAAAGGAATTACAAAAAAATAAAACGCACTTTGCAAACATCTCTGATGACTTGTAAAAAAAAAAAAATCAACATTAGTGTTATCACAGCCCCATGTGCAAATGATCCTTCTGCAGGTCCTCCTTGTAAGAGGCACACCCCAGTGCCTTGGTCAGGCTGTTTCCCTGCACCCAAGCTGGAGTTGCCCGCTGCAGACACCTCCAGAGGGCTGAGATTGCGGCCTGCTTTTCCTCCCCTCGCTGCCCTCCTGGTTGCATGTCTATGCATTCAGCCCAGCTCAGTCCCCCAGCCTGGGCTTTGGGTGAGATCCTGGTTCTAGCTGGGGAATGCACATCTACAAACCTTGCACCGGCAGTAGCTACAAGAGGTGCAGAAGAACACAGACCCGGAGAAGTCTCCCATTCCATAAAAGGCAGCCAGTGACACCTCAAAAGAAAACCTTGTTTCCCTCAGTGTCTCTTCAAATGAATGGGAGATGGGGGCCCAGCTGTAGTTCCAATCCTGAGTACCAAAAAGGGACCATCAATACACAGGATTTGAGAGCTCGGTGCAAACAGCCACCCTCTGCAGGCAGACCCAGCAGCATCTGTTTTGCTTGCTGGCCCTCCTTTAAAAAGTGAAACTCAAAAAGCACGTGGAAAAAGACACATATCAGCAGCAATGTTTCAATTCTTGTACACAGTTCATGTGTGTCTTCCTACTGTTTCTGGTTAAGAAACCACTATGAATAAAAAGCACCAATAAAACATCATACATGGTAACAATATCGTAGACCGCCACTGTCCCTGGGACAGTGTAGAGATGCCAAAATACATACTGCTTAAATCAGAAAAAAGGGGGGAGGGGAGGACATGTAGTGAAATAGATTTTACTCTGAGATTTTTAATGTTTACTATTAATATAAAACAGTTGCATTTGGGGGTCAATGGGTAAATACAAAAAAAGGCACTGCCGCTTTATTACTAAATATCGGACTTCACAGCCTTACGCATGCAACTGTTTGATTCTTTTATAAATAAGGTTCTTTTGCTTCAGGATTTTAAAATTGAGCTGTATACCTGCAGTCAACACAGGACTCAAAACAAGGTGGGGACAGGCTCCTAAAATTTATCAGAACACTCAACTTAAAAAAAAAAAAAACACTAATAGCAAAACACAACTAAGTAGATAAATCTATACACAGTCGATGAAAAATAAGCTTTTCTTTTTTTTAAAAAAAGAATTATGTTGTTATTAATAACAGACTTTATCATGGTTACCAGCCATAGCAAGTTAATAAGTAACATATCCAAAATAATATCTCTAATAATCAGATAACCATTGTTTCTATATTCAGTGAAGGAATAAATAGAAATCCAGATTTGCAAATACTTTAAGGTCTTCTTCCTTTTAAAGGATTCATGCTAATGTGATTGTGTTTACAATCTGTTTTCTGAACAACCCAAGTCTTTATGGATATATGTGTTTTGCAGCAGATCTGAATGCTTTCTCATTTCTCCACAAGATGTGTAATACCATTGTTTTTTCTTCTCTTTATTAACTTCCTCAGCATCCAAAAACACCTTCACAAACCCTCTGGTCTTACTTTGGCCTTCAACATTTTTGATCTATTCCTGCCTTACATGTGATCGTCCATCCCAACACATTCCCCAAGTAACACTAAGTTTGTTTAGAAAAGGGGTGTGGAGGATGAATGTTAATGGCACTTGGTTAAAAAAAAAAATCAACTAAAAAATGCTGCCTCTTTCTGCACATGGATTTGCATCTTTACAATGTAGTCACCCAAGAGGAAGTCTCTTTTCTTAATGCAAAGCATGGTATCATGGGTTCAAGCCCCCTTTACTCGCTAAAGGCTGTCTACAATTAAGATGCTCCCACCTTTTTAAACCTTAAGACTTAGAAAGCAAGGCTGTGTTAGTGCACATTTTTAATCTTGAAAGGAAAATAAAGTTGTTTAGATTGCATTAAGGCCTTTTAAATCTGTATTTACTTCATTAACCTTTCTTTCTTTTTAAAAAAAATAACCGTAAGCGAGTGCAGCGATTTTCATGGTGTGATCTCTTCAATTTCGATTCTGACTTTGCTAAAAGAAATGGCACCAGACTCACCCATTTAATAAACAGGCCTTATACCACCTCCCTGATTTCGCCTCTGGCTGAGCATTCATACCATCATTTACACAACCCAATTTTCCAGTGCAGAGCACAACTCCTCTTCGATTTCCTTTAATACTCTCCATTGTATCGAATCCCAAACGTAGTCTTTCTTGCCCTTAAGAAACAGAGCTATTACTTTGTGGTAGCATAGTTTGTTCATCTCTCATTATGTCAGGACTGGTTTTTTTCTCCCTTCTGTGTGTGGCTGGGTAGATAAATCAGCCAACAACACAGCAAATCCCTGACGTACACGTGGATAGAACCACGTTTCCATCACGCAGTTGACCTTTCCTACATCTTCCTTCACTGCCCACCTGGTACGGTGGGGGCCTGGCCGCGTGGACTGCACATGTCACCGCAGGCCCTCTCTGCCACTTGCTGACTGACCGGTTATACACTGTTGCTGGGCCTTGCTCTTCTCCTGTTCCTCAGCAGTGAGCGAGCCAGGGGGTTGCAGCCCCCAGCTTCGGGTTTCTGAGCGCAACCGCAGTAGACGCGGTGTTTCGAGCTCATCATCTGGAATTAAGGCCTTTTGCAAGGCGAAAATGTCGGTCCTTGCCATTTTTCCTCCAGGGGAACTTGAACCCACGTGTGTGTGTGTGTGTGTGTGTGTGTGTGTGCGCGCGCGCGTGCGCGCGCAGGGAAGCAGGGGGCGCTAGGCTGAAACCCTGCAGTAGGGTGGGGAGGAAGAGGTCTCCGGGTGAGAAGCAAATCCAGCCCAGAAAGGGGCCGCAGGATTCTTTTACAATCTCTTGGTGAACCGCGAACAAACACTAACTGATCACACGGTGCGTCCCCCTCGGACCTTCCCAGTGCTCTACCCCTCGCAGCCACATACTCTCCCGCCAACCCACCTGCACGCGCCGCCTCCCCCCTCCGCCCGCGGGGGGCGGGGGGAACGACCGACGCCTCGGCCCACGTGACGTGCATTCGCCTTCCCGGCAAGCACCGCTCCGCAGCCATTGTAAGAGACAACCCTGCTGCTATTATAAAAATAGAGGAAAAAAAATGAATCCGTATCAACAAATCCTTTACAAAAACCATAGTATGAAGAGAAGTTCTATCCAAACTCTTTACACATTATGTACCCTTTAAAATTGTTATGTAAACAATACACAAATCAAAGTTTCTCTGCAATTTTGTCGGAGGGGATGTTCCCCCTCCGCCGCCGGTGCCGTGCGGCCCTCTCCCGCGGCTCGACTCCAAGCCGGGTCCTCGGGGGAAGCCGATCCGGGCGGCGGGGAGGGCGGGCCGCCATCTTGCTTTGGTCGCAGGCCCGCACGACTGTGTCCTGGGGCCCGACTGCGGAGGCGGCGTCGAGGCGCTCCCAGGCCCGAGGCCTTCGCCTCCCTCCCGCGGCTCTCGCGGCTCTTCCACCTCTTCCACGGCGGCGGTGCTCTTTTTGTTCTCTTCTGCCCCTCCTTCCATCCAGGAGGCCACCTGCGCTCCCTCGCTTCCCTAGAGACCCCCTCCCCACCCCGCACACCAAGCCATCCCGTGACAGAAACAAATGACAAAATTACCACTCCCCGGTCTACTGATATGTTTACAAGGACGACCTACGCTCTCACAAAATCAAAATGGGAGAGGGACCAGGGGAAAAAAAGGCTGCAAAGGATCTCGGAGGATTCCGTGCAACCCTGAAGATGGTTGACACTGGACCCGCAGCAGTCGATTTCACGGCCAGCGCGGTCACTCTCATCTTCAGCTTCTAGATTGTGGAGGTCCGGTCAACCCCGTCTGGGAGAGAGAGAATACACGATGGGCACAGGTGAACAAAACCGTTTCTTCACGTCCTTCCTGGTCTCCGAAGACAGGTAAGGGCCCAACTTACTCATCCACTCACTCCCTCGTTCACACACCCACCCACTCAACATCTGGAGAACAGCCATCTTTCCAAGAGCTGTAAAGAGCCTGGGAATCCACGTGAAGAGACCTAGTCCTCTCACATGCTAGTCGGGACAGACACATAAAGCCACAGTGATGGAGGAGTGATGACTGCTATGATGGAGTATGTACCGGGCACAGCAGGAACGTGGAGGAAGGGCTATGTAAGGTGCCCCTGGAAGTCAAGGGCAGTTTCACAGAGGAAGAAAATGACTTTTGTAAGATGGTGCTGGTAGCAGAAGAGAGGAGGAGGCAGAAAAGGGAGAGGGTGAGGAGGGCGTCCAGTCACGCTTACGTGTGATGTTGGTTGTCAGATGGTGGGGGCTGAGGGCTGGATGGAGGTCTAGGATGAGGGGTGGGGGGATGGAGGAGTGGCAGGAGATGTGCCGAAGAGCTGGCACAGGCTGGCAGCAGGACATGCAGGTGGACCTGTCCAGCTTACACCCCTTTGGCAGCATCTCTGTGTCACCGAGTCCCTGTTGAAAGACTGGGCATGAGGTGGCTATGACTCTGAGCCCTGGTCACAGCTGAGCA